AACGTTTCGCCAGCATCGTAGTCGGCATCGTCAGTGAGTCTCGCCATTCGTAGCACCATATTACAACTCGGAAAAGAAACAACTCTCTTTGAAAAGTCTCTTTTCTCTTTTGCCGAGTTGTAATATGGTGCTACGAATGGCGAGACTCACTGACGATGCCGACTACGATGCTGGCGAAACGTTTGGGAATGTACCACGTCGAAGGTTCAACTTTGGAAATGATCATGCAGGCAACGGACCCCGGACTAGGTGTGTTACAATAAGTCTTCCTACCAATATGACCATGTTGCGAAAACAAGATCAGACAACGTCTATACAACGAACGGAGACTGCGACCACACAAAAGGCCACACCATCTTGGTCTTCATACTTTAACTTACGTTACTTTAGGAGTGGGTTGACCTAATTTTTGCCACATGTCTTGTTGTCAAGGCGACTTAATTGAACACAACATTTTCAAATCCTCTGCTATGATAGTTATCATAATTTCCCGCATCAGACCGTGGACTTGATATATTCTCAGTCGTTTCACCGGCATCATAGTCATCATCATCAGTTCGTCTTGCTATTGTCAGCAGCAATCTCAGCTAAACGCATCAGACACAAAAGAAGTCAAACTGTCGACTCTACATCTCCCGACTTGTCCACATTCCAATCGCCAAAAGTTGTGCCCGTTTTTGGCAAGTTTCGTGTGCCCCCCTCACACCCGCTGTTCCCGTTTGATCGGTTAATCCGTCTCGGACCCCCCCCGGTTCTGCAGGCATGGCAGTCACAATCTATGCCCTCTACTCGGCGAGGCGTTACTGTTCGTGATTCGTGGCCTCGAGTGAACGCTGGGCACGCTGGGACTGGAACCGAGTGAAATCGGTCAACCAGAAAGAGACGGAGCCGATCTGCAAGACAATGACGGGATCCGGATTGGAGGCCCGAGTCGGATCAGCCAATCGAAAGAGTTGGGGTGGTGGTGAATAGCCGGTGTGATGAGGCCATACACACACACACATTTTGACGAGTGGAATGTAAACAAGTGAGAAGTGGATAAGAGGGTAAAGAGTGGATAGACAGGCCACGACAGAAAGAGGAGTGAACTTCGGGTTAGAGATTGACTTGACTTGTCTCTTTGACGAGTTCTTAGGTTGGTACGGCGAGTGGCAAAACTGACTGATGATACTGACTACGATAGCGGCGAAATGTCTGAGAATGTACCAAGTCCACTGTCTGATGCTGAGAGTCATGACAACTAACATGGCAGACGACTTCGGACTAGGTGCCTTCTACATAGTCGCCCTGACAACAAGACCAAGTTGCGATGACGAGGTCAACCCACTTCAATAAATCGAAAGGAGACTGCGACCACACCAAAGTCCACAACATCTTGTTCTTCATATCTTCAATGAACTTTAATTTTACTCGAAGATGTAGAGGCCAAGATGATGTGGCTTCGTTTGTGGTCGCAGTCTCCTTTCGCTGGTTATAACTCGTTTGACCCTGTTTTCGCAACTTGTTCATGTTGGTAGGACGACGTAGAGGAACGCACTTTGTCCGAAGTTCAATGCATGTTTGATCATTTCCAGATTCAGAACGTGGACGTTCCTACCAACATGACCAAATTGCAAAAACAAGGTCAGACAACTTCTAACTTTACTTTTCTTTACATTGTTTTGCTTTATTTTTCTTCAATCCTTCTCAATTTAATCTAACTCTCTCGCTTTTCACTCTGTCTCACTTAACTTCTCTCTACTTTCAACCTTTCCCTCATCTTCTGGCGTTTCAAATCCGCTCGGCCGTCTGCTCTCTCCTGCCCTTAATCCACTCTACCCTCAACTCTCTTCGGTACATCATGTCCTCTCCACCACAAGCCCTTTCACTTGGCGCTCTTCTCTTCACCACTTTTCAATCGATGCACATACCCTCCCGCTTTCGACAAAGCTCCCGAGAAAGATGTCCATTTTGTTGTTAAGTGGTTCTGATGAAGAGTTCGGTTGGTTCATTTCACCGTTTGGCACCTGGCGCCGTCCAAGAGTCGTCCTCCTCCACTTCGTTTGAACAACAGAGGCTGCTTTCGTCTGTCAGGCCGCTGGAAAAGCCTCGTCCAAGTTGACACAAAGTAAATTGGGATTTATAGAAGTGGGTTGACCTCGTTGTCGCAACTTGGTGTTGTTGTCATGGCGACTATGTAGAAGGCATCTAGTCCGAAGTCGTCTGCCATGTTAGTTGTCATGATCACCATTGGTACATTCTCAAACGTTTCGCCGGCATCGTATTTGGCATCATCAGTACCACGTCCACTGTCTGATGCTGGGAATCATGACAACTAACATGGCAGAAGACTTTGGACTAGATGCGTTCTACATAGTCGCCATGACAACAAGACCAAGTTGCGAAAACAAGGTCAAACAACTTCTATGCCACGAAAGAAGACTGCGACCACACAAAAGGCCACACCATCTTTGTCTTCATACCTTCAATTAGGATTGTTGGTCTCAGCTCCATTTCGAATGAATATGTGTGAAAGTGATGAAGAGATTGAAATGAGGATAGCATTCGACGACTACCAGCAGCCGATTCTTCTTGACCAGACGTCGCTTGACTTTACTGGCACATTCCAGCTCAAGTTGTCCTCGAACTAATCTCCTCCGATTGCCGCGAAAACGGGATGGTCTGTAGGGCCTTGTATGATCGCGAAGAGCATTAGAGAAGGCCATTATTCTTGCGAAAAAGAGTTGGGTTTCAAAGCATTTTTTGTTTCCTCACGGTGAAGCTCACTTCCATTTCGAGTGGAAGGGTCTGTGAAGAGATTGGAACGTCGATCGCTCCAGAAGATGACGGTGGATTTCTTGCTGATGCTGTTTCTGAGGCAAATTGCTTCGATTTCGGTGAAAATGTGCCCAGTTTCGTCCGTTGTATGAATCACATCATCAGAGCAGATCATCATCTTCACAACCACATTCAATCCAACTGGCAGCAAAGCTCAGCGGCTTAACTCGAAATCTAACTTCTTTGACGAGCCATAAAGCGGGTGTGGTTAGTTCAAGTTGTATATCAACTTCGAAGCACATGAGTATCTGTATACGTATTCGTGCTATGAATCTATCTATCTATCTCTCTCTCTCTTTATATATATATATATATATA